TACTACTTTACCCCAAGACCCCAAACACAGTGTGCGATTCGCTCCAGCCAAACGCAAGATGATGTTACAGGATTGGACTACACCGACTCCTAGATTAGAAATGGGTAGTGAAGTGGTAGAGCACGTTGACCGCTTCACTTACTTGGGAAGTACCATGAGCCCCAACGGGTTGATCTCCGACGAAATCTCAGCACGGATACAGTGGGCTAGTTTCTCATATGCCAGTTTACACCGTCTCTGGCGTAGACGTGATATCCGGCTGGCTGTCGACCAAAGGACGTGTGAATGTACTGCTCATCAGTCCGCTCCGTCTTCCTTTATGGCTGTGAGACCTGGCCATTCAGAGTGGAAGACATGAAAAGACTAGCTGTCTTTGATCATAGGTGTCTGCGTTCTACCTCCCGCGTGAAATGGTATAATAAAGTGAGCAATATAGAGATTAGGCATCGAGTGCTAGGTAAGGAGGGGAAATCAGTCGACGAGACTGTGAAACTTCATCGACTGAGATGGTTAGACATGTGTTACGTATGCCTAGTCAACACCTTCTTCGACGGGCAATGTTAGCTGATATAGAGTGAGGCTGGGAAAGAGCTAGCGGCGGTCAAACCAAAACACGTCACCAGTCAATGAAATCTACAACAGTCAGTCTAGGCCACGTAGGAAGGTGTAGACTTCCTGATTGGTTGCGGTCCTCGGGACGGTTAAAAACCAATGGCTGGAGGCAATTGGTGACATGGCTGAAAATCGTTCTCAATGGCTGGCGCATATGCATCCACTCCTTGTGACTTATGATTTCCAATGAAACTGTTTTGTTCTCCGTTATTACTATTCCTTTGTCTCACACCTCTGTTTACTGTCTCTAATATGCATTTCTGCTGCTTTCTTCTCTTGCTTTGTGTGCTATAAGGAGCGGAATGTGGCGACTTGAACTGCCGCACATATGTGCATAGTTCTATGTCGAAAGCAGGCAGACAGACAAACACAGCGTGAAACAACTTATCCCATGATGCTAATTGGTTTTAGTCTAACCACTATCCAACGACCCTTCTGGCATAGTAGTAGGTCGTGCAGGATCATTTGTTCCAGTTAGTGTTGTAGTTCCTTGGGTCATTGAGGTGGTGTATAGAAGCCCGAGACCTGTAGGTCACGGTAGCATCTATCGGTTCGTAATCAGCTTAGAGCACACACACACAGGTTGACAAATTAGACCGGTGTCTAAACCTAGCAGCCACCAAAACATAACGCCAACACATGAAGTCTTTGGTTGGTGGTGAATTGAGGCATGTAGGCAGGTAGGTGTTTACCTGGGATGGGGGTCCTCAAGATGCTAAGAAATAATAGCAAAAGAGCGAGAGAGAGATGATCGATAATCATGTTTTTATGGCACGAAATTGTACTTATTCTGTGCATAGCTATTCTTTCTTCCACACATTTATGCTCTTTTATTCATTATCATTTCTTTACAATTTGTTTCCCTTCTGCTTCTTACCTTTATGCTTGCCACTGCACACGTATACAAAATTTAACGTTGAAAATTTAGTTTATTATTATTATTATTATTATTCATATATAGATAGTGAGTATTTTATTCACCAGAAAGAAAAATACGGTCAACTGAACACCAACCGCTGGAAATCACAGTCAGTATTGACCTTTATGTTGCATTTAATACTATGAATAATAATAATAGTACCTTGGTTATTTCTTATCATTATTTTCTAAGAGTTTTTCTACTAATCATGTATTAGCACAGTAATGTTAACCAGCACTGCTATTATGAATTTCCTGAGCAACTGTGGAATGTAGTAAAGATAAGGGCTGAAGTAAACAAGACAAGAATATTGTTCTAGTATTGTTGCTTTATAGCGATTTGATTAACTTCAGGATGGATCCCAAGGTCGCAGCTTGTAATCATCTCGGGCGACTCTTAGTGTTGATTCCCAAGTGTGCTGGTTGCGGGGGGGGGGGGGCAAGGTGGCTGGGGTGCATAGTCCTCAGCACTCTCTGGCTTTCAATGGTTGTCTAACTGATGAAGTCATTTCGTGATCATCATCCTTGAGATAAAAAATAAAGTAATACTGACTGTTCAAGGTGGAGAGATGCACGAATAAGAATGCACTACACACAATGAATTGTTTTCCACTAATATTGTACCTGCTTCTTGGAAGGACATTGAAATTGTTCCTGCGCCTAAATCAGTTAGTGAACACCAAGTGTTAAGTTCAGACCTACTGCAATCAGAGACGTTACCGCTGAGCAGCTATTCGGATTCGCGTTTGACCTCCTCTGTAGGACTGTATTGCATATTTTTGGGTTGGACACTAGTCAGTAAGTAACCAGTGTGCTAACTACCATGAAACCTACGTTCAAGGATTCCTGTCGATTGCCTCTAACGGTGTAATAGCAACAATTCACAGTGCACCATGATGGTGATCCACCTAGTGGCATGCATGGTGGCCACACTGCAAACTTGAGTGACTATAGAATTCAGTCTACACCAACGATAGAACTAGACACATAACACTAGTTACTGACTAGTGTCCAACCCAAAAATTCCAGGATTTGTTCAATAAGTGTGAACACCGTAAATTGTAAACATGACAGTTTTGTCTTATTGTTTTTGTTTTGGACTCAGTTATACGATGCAAACCCTTCACATATAGCAGAATTTGTGTCACGTTTATTGTACGAGGATTGAAGTGGAATGGGATTCGAACTAGGAAGCCATTAGTGTCAATATCCGAGTGTTTAAGGCAATAAGGCACACCTAGTAGAGTTGCATTGATGTTGCTACTACTAACTTTAGAGAAAAAGATAAATCATGGGTAGAATTGCTTTTGTAGATGTCTGTGTTTAAGATGGTGATCAATTATGTACAATAGATATTGAAACTGTTTTAGCCTGTGATTACAGTTCAGTGATGACCTGCTGATTAGCAGTGGGATTTCCTAGCTCAATTGGGTACATCGCTTGCTTGGCATCCTGCCGCAACCCACATCTTCTTCACTTTAGTTACCATCATCACTCCCTCGCACGTATGTAAACTTGCTTCACTAATGTAGGCTATCACATATAGTGTGACCTTTATTTTTTACAATAAAATACTCATCTTTCAATTATCATTTTGTTATTATTATTATTATTAAAACGCAAACTGGTTACATAATGTTCTCATACTTTGTGCAAAGGTCGGGATACTTCGCGAAGCAGGTGGTTGTCTTAATGGACCACTGTGGGAGCCCTTGACTTCAAACGTGATCCATGGGAAAGTGGGGTAGTGTGTTCCCATGATTTTCAGCGACCAAAACAGATTGATACGCTATTTGATCCTTTCGAATTCTAGTGCCCATGTACACCATAGGTTTCGGAATCAGCGTTTTCAACCTCCTCCCCCCCCCCTGCTAGTTAGATCAGCATATCCACCAGTCAGGTTGTAGGTGGCAGACATTCGCGCACTCATCCCTTTTGTTTTGTGAGGAAACTTTGAGCCGCATGAAGGTAATGAACAGTAGTTACTTACCTGGCCAGAGATTGTGAACTCGTGACCACGTGAGAGAGAGCATTTCGAGAGGAAGACCGAAGTGCATGCACCTCCCCTCTGTGGCACCAGGTCATTTACGATGACCTCTATGTGTATAAATGCCCACTCTGATGACTTTGATGATCTTGATTAATTATACACCTACCTGTCCACTTAGTTCCCTGAATTATTGTCTCATACATAATTTAGAAAGTTGTGTAGTCGATGTAGTCACCTGCCCAAAACGCACTTAATCAGTTGGCGATCACTGTCTGTAAGTATGGTATGTGCTTTGCACCGTCTAAGTGCAAAGTACTGTTACAAGATTGGCAGGAGCCTGTACTTGCACTCACTCTTGCGGGTGAACCGCTTGAAGTTGTTGATAAGTTTGTGTACCTGGGTAGTTGTGTGAGTGCTGGCGGAGGGGTGATGGATGAGATCTCCAACCGTATAATGAAGGCTAGGGTGGCATACATCAACTTGTGCCACCTCTGGGGCCATCGCGACGTTAGCCTGGCTGTCAAAGGTCGGGTATACAATGCTTCGGTGCGGGCTGTCTTGCTCTCCGCCTGTGAAACCTGGCCTCTCCGAGCTGAGGATGTGCGGCGACTCTGCGTGTTCGATCACCGCTGTCTCCGCAGGATTGCTTGCGTTCGATGGTATCATCGCGTGAGTATTTCTGAGGTTCGGCGGCGTGTTTGAACACACTGGAGATCACCATTCATTGAGTGTCGTCATCTGGAAACACCGGCTCCGGTGGTTTGGACATGTGCTGCGAATGTCGTCCCAGAGGCTTCCGTACAGGTCTCTGTTCGCTAGCCCTGGGACAAGATGGAAAAGGCGGAGGAGTGGTCAGTCCATGACGTGGCGTCGTGGGATGAAGGATTTTTGCGCTAGATTAGCATCGGTTGGTGCGTCACGACTCCCTGGTTGGGGTCCGCGAGATAGCTGGAATCGATGGCTCGAAACGTTATCGGATATGGCCAAGAATCGTAATCAATGGCGAACGTGTTGCAATTTCCTTCTTTCTTCCATTCCTGATGATAGTTAACGAATACTGTTTGAACTCGTTAAGTATGACTGTTTTCCTTACAGATGAAGTTCTTTATCCGTTTTCTACCTATATTTTTACTTTTAATTTATGTTGTTTTATTATTATTGTGTGGCACATCTTTCTTGGTGCCATATTGTACCAAGTTTTTTCTGCGTTTAAATAAATAAAAATATGTAGTCACCTTGATAATATGATTATTGTGCAGATATGTCACCTGTAGTCCGTATATATTTGTCGGTGTAAATAACAAACAAATTTATTTGTGTGTATGCTGCAACTGGTCGACACACCGGTGTGCCCCATTCCAGCTAGGGTTGGCTGTTTATTTAACTAACTAACTAACTCACATAATTTCTTATCATTTGTTTTTTTTTCCCCTCAAAGTCGTCAAATTTTATTTTTATTCTCTTTTTAAATGTTTTCCAGTCCAGTTTAGAGCTAATACCTCGTCAATTTGGTCCTGGCTCGGTAAGCAAAGTAATGCAGAGCGTAGTCACGCATTTAATTCGTGCTGCATATAAGCCTGTACGTGTACTACGTATGTTTGAAGCTGATTGGGCCACTGGTGTGATGTCCATGTTCAATGGTCGTAATGTATCATCCTCAGAGTTATTAAATGCAATTATTGGATTAACTGATGCCAATAGTAATAATGTTCGTGTACTTCGCCCTAATCTTAATAATAATAATAATAATCCAGCATTTCAACAGTTTAAAAAAGAGGCGATAGAACAGTGTCGTTCAAATATGCGGATTGTGGCAGTTAGTGTTCGATGTCCTCGTCGAGGGATAAAAATTTCAGTGCCAGTGGAGGTTTGCTGTCGTAGAAGAGCAGTAGAAGAATACTGTCGACAAGTAAGGCCTAGTTTCCCTTTTTGATAATAATAATGAGTCAATGTTTTTGTTTTTAGTTTATTTCTTGTTTTTTATCTGACAAAAGTGATGGTGAATACCAAACACGCATGGGTCGTCTAAACTGTTATCTGTTTTTCTTTTGTAGATGAGCACAAGTACTGCATCAATTTTTGAGGTCCCCTTTTGTCTTAGGCTTGTATTATTATTCCTTTGGATTCTACAGTGCTGTTCAGAGATAATCATCTGTTCCTAGTCAGCATTAACTTTGGGCACAAAAGGAAACTCTGCATAACCTGGCGACCTCCATCACCAAATCAACGTTGGTTTCAAACAGACCACATAGCGAGGGTCAGTAGACGACTACCGCTCCTTCTGGAACATGTGCTTAGACTCCGATCACTGTACTGGTTCGCACACGTTTATGCTTACGACTGGACGAATATAAAAAAAATGTTGGCAGTGAAGCAGTTACGTCCTCAATTAGATCAAAACACTGAGTCCCTATTAAAGGAGGAGATAGCGAAACGAGTTTCTGAAGTCGACAGCAAGACTCCTCATGAGGCAGCCTGGCATACCATACAGTTAGCTGTAAAGGCTGTTAAAAACCTGAAACTAAAGGTTAGTAAGAGCCATTAGAAATCTACTACCTCATCAGAACTGATTGACGCAAGAAGACCGGTTCTGGTGACCTCTGAAGATGATGAGTAGCGAAAGCTGCTCAAACGCAAACTAACAGGAAGCCTTCATAACGACCGTGAACAGTGGTGGGCAAAAAAAGCGAAAGAGATGGAAAAGGCATTAGCGATTGGTTACACCAGACAACTATTTCGAATTACCAGGGAAACAGGTGGTTCAGAGCAAATGATAAGTGAAACAATCTCTGAGAAAAATGGTACCATAATTAGCTCCCAGAAGAGACGACTAGAACGTTGGAAAGAACACTTTGAGGAGCATTTCAATTGGCCTACAGCCACACTCAACCTACTGAACATCCAACACCTCTCTGAATGGGATATAGACACAGGTCCTCCTTCCATAACTGAGGTTACTAAGACGGTCACTAGTCTGAAACGAAGCAAAGCAGCAGGACCTGATGGAATGACTTCAGAGGTATTTAAGTACGGTAGAGACAGTTTACTGTCTGCGTTAACTGAGGTACTAGGCAGCATCTGGGAATCAGAGGAAGTCCCGTCGGCTTGGTGTAAGTCATTGATTATCCCGATATACAAGAAGGGAGACAAGACTTCCTGTGATAATCACAGGGGGATTAGCTTGACTAATATGGCATCTAAAGTTCTAGGCTCAATAATAATGCGTAGACTAAGTGGTGCTCGGGAGACACAAACACGAAAGAATCAGACAGGCTTTAAACTAGGAAGAGGGTGTATCGATCATGTCTTCACTCACAGGCATCGAACAATCGTCATATTTCTTAATCTGAAGGCGGAATTCAATTCCGTCGACCGAGAGGTACTCTGGAGATGTTTGGCTATGAAGAGAATGCCGAGAAAAAAATATATCACTGATCAAGGCACTCTACTCGAACTCATGCAGCCAGCCAGGTGAGAGACTACGGAAAGTTGTCATCTCAAGTGTGGTGTTCATCAGGAATGGATGGCGACTGTCTCCATCACTATTTATCTTCATCAGATATGTACTAATGAACTTAACCCAAACTGACTTCAGCGACTCGCGGATTGACTTGTTACCATGACGGAATCATCTCGTTGACTTATAATATGCAGATGATATACTCCTCCCTCCTAGGCGAAGAGCCTGACAAGGTGCAGAGTCTTCTGAACACCTTGGGGAGCAGCAATCTTCGAATGTTTAGCATGCGATTCACCTGTTCCCGTCAAATGTAAGATGATGCTGCAGGACTGGACTGGACTACAGTAACTCACTTCTAGCTTAAAAATAGATAAGAGTGAAATGTTTGGTGGAGCGTGCTGATTGTTGATTAAATCTCAGTACGGATACAGACGGCTCGTTTGGCATATGCCAACCAACTTAAGCCATCTCTGCTGGCTGTCGACCAAAGACGTGTGTACTATTCATCAGTTCGCTCCGTCCTCCTTTATGGCTGTGAAACATGGCCACTGAAAGTGGAAGACATGAATGTAGAGGCTAGTTGTCTTTGATCATAGGTGTCTGTGTTCTATCTCGTGTGTGTGTTAGGTGGTATAATAGGGTGAGTAAAATTGAGGTCAGGCTTCGGTCGAGTGTTGGGTGAGGAGGGGAAATCAATCGACGAGGTCGTGAAGCTACATTGATTGTAATGTGGTTAGGCTATGTGTTAAGCATGCCTAGCCATCGCCTTCCTCGATGACCAATGTTAGCTGACATAGGATTCGAATGGAGAAGAACTAGTCCTGGTCAAACCAAAACATGGCTTCATCGGTCAATGAAATCCACAACAGCTAGTGTCAGCCAGCCGCGAAGGGAGGTGTAGATTTCCTAGTCGGCGTCCTCAGGATGCTAGTTTACACGTTCACATATATATATTTCTGTGTTGTTGTTTTTTTTTTCAAATTAAACATATCTAACCACATTAACCTCATGGTTTTCCGCTTCTATGTTTCCTCTCTTCACAGGTATCTCTTGTTTTTGAAGCATGCCCACATCTTATCAGTTTTGTTCCGCCTTCTACATCCGATGAAGTGAAATCCGCGCCAAATATCACTGGAATAGATACGGATCGTTTATTTCTTAATAAACAAACACAAATCACTTTTGAAAATATTACTTCTGTTACAACTCATGATTGCCCTTCATTTTGTAATGTACGTCTGCGTTCACGTTATTTCGATCGTCTTCCAGGATGGAAAAGGCGGTTAACAGCTCTACGTGCATTTACAGATTTACCATCTACTCCTGACGGGGATCATAGTCGTAGTATTTTAGGAGCTACTATTGGTGGACATGTTACTCGATCGGCAATGGCGTTACAAAATAATAATCTAAATGGTGGATTAACAATAAGTAGACTTGAAACACAATCCAATTCACATAACTCAGCCAATACTAAGAATCTTGTACGCAGAGGTAAACGAAAGTATCGAAACAGTTCACGAAGCTCTGCGGGACGTCGTAGTTCTGAGAGAGTAATGTCGAATGGTTTAGAAAATACTACTAATAATAATAATAGTAATAATGGTCCCACAGGATGTAAACGCCGTGGTCGCCCAAAACGTGTGAAAACGTCTGCGGAAACTTCAGAGTTAGTTCCGAGCAACTGTCAGACAGTATCATCATCAACATCATCATCATCTTCTACGCATGAATTTCCCAACCCTACTACTACTACTCCTAATTTTCCTATATGCAATACTGGTACTGTCAACAAATCATCGCAAAATGTACAAATCCCCACTGTGTCTAATCCTCACAACATATGTCAACCTAGCCATTCATCATCATCATCAGCAACAGCTGCTTCAAGTTATTGTCCAGCTTTACAGACGCCAATTCCAAATTGTTCAGATAGGAATGGCCTAGAAATGGTGAATACAACCGCGGCGGCCGCCACTGCCGCCACCACAACAAGAACTGATCAACTACCTCTGCGTAATCATAATAATAATAGTAATAATTCTCCAGTAATGGAGGAAGATATGAATGCCTTGTTCAGTAATATACCTAGAATTGTTCTATCCAGTAATCCAATGTTTTGGACTCCAGTTGACTTGGCCGCCTATCTTGGCAATACTGACTGTCGAGAAATGTGGCCATGGCTTGCAGCTGAAGCTGTCGATGGACAAGCATTTATGTTGTTAACTCTTCCAGTCTTGCATAGACTGGTCGGTCTGCGTTGGAGTGACGCTGTCCGTTTGGCGCGTCATGTATTATCTGTGAAACAAGCCTTCCTAGAACAATACAGTACGCATAGTCATTCAAATGAAACATATCATCAGTCAGATGAAACAAGATGAGATGCAATCAATTGTTCATTTATTTATTGTTTGCCTTTTCTGTTTTCTTTGTGTTTAAGTTACTGCAGTGAGAGAGGGGGAGACGCGGGGTTGGGGGGGGGGTTGGTGGGCATCTGTCAGTCTGTATTGTGTTATCGTTTAAATATTTTTCTATGATGCATACATACACTACACTACACTACATGCGTTTGTTGTACCTCTACCACTCAACTAGTCTTTCTAATGTCCACAATGAAGTATTGTTTATACTTCTTGCTCCCCCATCCCTCTGCCCAGCCTTTTTGTAAATGTATCTATCCTTCAATGTTATTGAAATAGATAAAATGTTTATGTGAATGTGATGGCTTGTATATGCAACAGTTTCTCCCGCTCTCTCTCACACTCAGACACTATTTCCCTTTACTCTTAGCTTAATGAAAAATGAGCGTGTGTTCCCCCCCCCTGTTTCTTCTTTGTTTGATTTTTTTCCGTATATTCGTTTCTATTTTATGTGTATAGCTGTGAGTGTATTGTATGATATAATAATTGATATACTAATTTGTACATTAAAGGTTTATATATATATGCATATTGGAAAAAAAAGACGAAGTTTCATAATTATGCTGTGAGGAATGCTGCCTGGCTGGATTCAGTATAGAACTTGGCACCGAAGTGCACCAGTTCGACTTGCCACGTTCCAAATAGCACAGAAGGCTAGATAAGAAGATGAGTGAAGAGAATCAATAGAGTTTTGACAAGTATAAGAGTGAAACAGAATGAGTAATGGTAGAAAGGAATATGAAAGATTACAGAGACTGAATACATCTGCGTAAGCCATTGACAACGATTTTGAGCCATGTCACCACCTATTTTCTCCAGCCATTGATTCTTAGAGTCCCGAGGGAGGGCCCCAACCCGGAAGTCTGCATCTCCCTCCCTACCTGACTCAGTTTAACTGTCAAGGATTTCATGGATTGATGAGGCCATGTTTTTGTTTGGCCACCACCCACTCTTTTCCAACCTGCACCTTTATCAGCTAGTAATGCCCGTCGGGGTGGGGGAGGCGATGGTTAGGCATGCGCAGCACGTGACCTAGCCATCTCAATCTATGTAACTTTATAGCCTCGTCGATTGATTTTCCCTCTTTGCCCAACACTCTACGCCTAACATCAACATTACTTACCTTATTATAACACCACTTAACGTGAGAAAGAGGTCGTAGACATCTATGATCAAAAACAGTCAACCTTTTCACGTCTTCCGTTCTCAATGGCCACGTCTCACAGCGATAGAGAAGGACGGAGCGAACTGCTGAGCGGTAGTACACACGTCCCTTGGTTGATAGTCGGATGTCACGCCTACGCCAGAGATGGTGTAAGTTAGCGAAAGCAGCTCGAGCTTTTTGGATCCGTGCTGAGATTTCGTCACTAATCAAACCATTGGTGCTGGTACAGCTTGCTGTGATGAATACTCAACTGAGAACATTAGTTTGGCACAACCACAGAAGAATCCTGGGGACAACAATTGTTTTCAAGTTGTGTCGGTTGCAGCATACGCTAAATTGGGATGTGAAATTTTCGACTTCTACCTTTCCGTCCCGCCCCCCACCTCTCACCTTACAGAATGGAAAGGCAAACTAAGCTGGCTGTCCAAGAGAAACATCTTACTGCTGTTACACTTACTATTCACCTGCAGTGTACGACTTCACCATGCGATCCCACAAACTAGTGTAGACAGCTTACACTTTAATAGTGTAAGGGCGGGTGTACTGCTCATCAGTCCGCTCCGTCCTCCTTTATGGCTGTGAGTGAACCTGGCCATTGAGAGTGGAAGACATGAAAAGACTGGCTAGCTGTCATTGATCATAGGTGTCTGCATTCTATCTCCCGTGTGAAGTGGTATAATAAGGTGAGCAATATTGCGGTTAGGCATCGGTCGAGTGGTAGGTAATGAGGGGAAATCAATCGATGAGGCTGTGAAGCTACATCGACTGAGATGTCTAGTTATCGCCTTCCTCGACGGGCAAAGTTAGCTGATATAGGGTCAGGCTGGAAAAGAGCTAGCGGCGGCCAAACGAAAACATGGCCTCACCAGTCAATGAAATCCACAACAGTTAGTCTAAGCCACGTAGTAAGATGTAGACTTCCTGGTTGGGGTCCTCGGGACGGTAAAAACCAATGGTTGGAAACGATTGGTGACATGGCTCAAAATCGTTCTCAATGGCGCAGATGCATCCAATCCTTGTGTCTTATACTTTGCAATGAAGCTATATTGCTCTTCGTTATTACTATTACTTTGTCTCACACCTCTGTTTACTGTCCCTATTTTGCATTTCTTCTCTTGCTTTGTGTGCTACAAGGAGTGGAGTGTGGTGACTTGAACTGCCGCACATCGGTGCAAAGTTCTATGTAGAAAACAGACAGTCATTATAATAGTACACCTGCTTTTAGTCTGATCTCTGTTTAACTGTTATCCAAAGTCCTTTCTGGTGTGATAGTGTGGTGAGAGATGGTTGCTAGCCAAATTGGTAGACAGTAATTGACGTCAATGTTTATATCTCAAATATTAGTCATGTGAAAACAAGGTCAAAGATGGACAGCAGACTTCTCATAGGAGGATACAGTTAGCATATGGATGATCTGACAGAGCCACAAAGAGATCCAAGGTTAACTTTCTGTGAGAAACAACCAATCAAAAGACTGTATTTTCTACTAACAATAATGTACATTAAAATCTATAAATATGTGTTGATTTTCCTTAATAAACGATCTGCTGCCTGACTGTTGCCTTCTGTCGTTACAATAGGACCTGCAGAAACATTCGCTCTACCTAGTGTAACTCGTCGGTTAGTTGCACTATACACAAGTAATGTTAGCTGACATAGAGTTGGGAGGAAAGCGATAGAGTGGGGGTAGTCAAACCAAATCATGCAATCAGTAGTCCATAAAAATCTTTAACTGTTAGTTTAATCCAGCCATATATGAAGATGTAGACTTCCTGGTTGGGGTCGTCGGGATTCTAAGAACTAATGAAGCCTGGAGAAAATTGGTGATATTGCTCGAAATCATTCTCAGTGGTGCAGATTCATTGACTCTCTATGATCTAGCATATGATCGAATAGTACCTTATTGTTTTTCCATGCTACTATTCTTTCTTCCTCATATTTCTGCTTAATGTGGTTCTTCCGAATCTCTTTTTTCTCTGGCCTTTGTTATTTTTTTTTGTACTATATAGAATGTGTCGAATCGAACTGCTACACTTCTGTGTTGAAACCAGTCAGTTAGTTAATGTGCAATATTCTGAGACTTCGCCAGTAGCTGTTCTTTTAAGGCCAATCTAACATCCCAGATTAGTGAAAAAGTCAATACATATTGGTTGAAGTGGACGATACATAAACGACAAACTTTTACTTTACTTTACTTCGGCTATCTCCTACGGGAGGATGAGCCGGCTTTATGAACATCTCGAATCATCGCTGCCCAGGCGCGGCGATCTGATGCAAGGTTTTGCGGCAGGGTTATCCAATTCTTGTTCCACAGACGGAGTCCGTATACGGTTTGTAGCCCCAGGCACTCCATATCAGCCTTGACTGTACCAAGCTATGTTTCCAGCTGTCCACCCTTGCGACATCGCCAAGATGGAAATGGCGAGGGATTTAGAACTGATTTGACCTGATCGGCGCAGAACATGGCCAAACCACAAGAGTTCATGTAGTTTCATGGGGATTTGGTACGAGTGATGTCCCCAGAATCGCTCGGCCTTTTGTTTGAGAGTGCAGCTCTAGCCTTTACGCAACCAAGTGTGACCTACAAGGCAGTAGGAGTGGAGTAGGGAGTCCACTATCCATTGGCACCCGGTGACCGGAGTTCGGTTCATACGCCTTTTTGAATGGGGCCAGACATCCAACAAGCCCTTTGTCCATACGTCTGCCGGTGAGCTCCAGTGAGCTTCATACGCCAGTCGTTGGAGGTTTGGAATCAGGGTTTAGCCATCTCCCCTAGACTGTCATCCAATGGACAGTCAACCAGGTGAAGAGCGCCGGGCATCCGCTTTCGCCCTCTCACTTTGGTGAGAAACACCTCCGCCACGTGAAGGCAGTGAGTATGACTTCCTCAGGAGAGGCTATGTAAGACGCCCGGTCATATGGGAGCATTTCAAGAGGTGTGCGGAGGGGTGGGCAACCCGCAGCGCAAGGCACCCACCCCCGACCATCCTGAGGCTTTGGAGGCAAAAGATGACGGTCAATAAGTTGGTCAAAGTTTTACCAGATGTAGAGTAATATCACCACCTAGGATGTGGAGGGACTTAGATATTGAACTTCCTGATAAAAAGTTCCGTCATAACAGAAAATAACTGATTTGTCGTTATCGTCACACTTGACTAAAATACGCCTCCGTACACGACACTATAACCAGTTGATCACTTGATGAAAATACTCCCCACACTGAGACCACCACAAAAGTCAGATGTGATAAGAGCGAAAACGTTTTATTATTCAAAATACAGGGTATATGTAGTTTACAAATTTAAGCCGCAGGTAAGTAATCAGTATCTGATTGGTTGAAAATTCCCGGAAATCCAAACCAAAAATAAACCAGTCAAAAACTGACCAATCAAGTTGACATGTCAGTGCGTGTACCAGTCATGACTGCAAATCGCACAGCGATAGTTTGTCTGTCCTAACAGATATCTGCTTATCCTCACAATCCGGTCACTTTTGAGATTATGTACAATTCTATTTTGTCATCTGACTTTTGATAACTGATATAAAATGTTTAGGTAGCGCCCACCACTATCTGGAATAAACATGGTGTATTCTGTCTCAATTCAAATAAACTCGAAGAATTACAGGCGAAAACCAACAAACTGACAGAAGAGGCTGGAAGCGAAGACAGGATTCCAGGTGAAGATAGAGAGGACAGAGGTGATGAAGTTAACCAACCAACCAACAACAACGAGCACCTATCATTATCAACAGAATAAACTTGAAAGAGGTCACTTTCTTCACTAATTTAAGAAACATTGTTTCAACTGCAGCCGGAATCGATGAAGATATTGAAGATACAATCGAAAAGGCAAGGCACACCTTCATCACTCTGAAATCAGTGCGAAAATCTTCTGTACTCGGCATGAACAACAAAACTCAGATTTTCGATACCGGTGTTAAGCCAGTCGCTTCTTTTGTGTGGGTCAGAAACTTGACCACCGTGTCACGAAAAGGATTTCCAATAGCCTGTTGCAGACTTGCATCAACAGCTGTCTTCGTTGGGTCCATACTGAAGATAAAACAGCTAGAGAGAATTAGCAACAATAAACTCTGGGAAAGAACCTACCGCTCAACAAATATTCCTAAAGAAATGAAGATGAATAAGGAACACACTGAGGAGATCGTCGAATCACATCGCACTCCAGGCCACCATCAATGGAGTGGAACCAGAATGGGAAGGAATGAGTGGGGTCTGGGTCCGAGGGCAACATGGAGGAGGTTGTGCGTGGAAATGGATGAAAGATGATTGACAATTGTGGGACCAGCTACAGAGAGAGCAAGATAAAGTGGAGATGTGCTGACATTGTTCACTCAGAACCCAAG